TGAAGTGATCACTAAATTGATTAGTGCATTAGAAGATGAGAGTGAGTACGTCAGATACTATGCATGTCAAGCTCTCGGGGATATGGGTGAAAAAGCAGCGACGAATGAAGTGATCACTGAACTGATTAATGCATTAGAAGATGAGAGTGAGTCCGTCAGATACTATGCATGTCAAGCTCTCGGGGCTATGGGCAAAAAAGTAGCGACGAATGAAGTGATAACTAAGCTTGTGAATATACATGATGATGATGGAAAATTATCTTATCAAGCTAAAAATGCTATAGATGATATTTTACAGTCATCATCCATAATGATTGCTTTTGGTCCAGTATTAATTTCAAAACTTTGCCTGTGTGGAAGACCATTAGACTGCTTGAAAAATGTTTCACTGAATGAATTAATCAGAAAATTTTTCGATACTCAAGATGCTGATTGGTTGTTGCCGGTGACTGAAATAGCATTTCAGAAGGGTGCTGCTGTGTTGATCAATGAAGATAAATTAATGGTGTATGATAATGAAGAACTAATAGAATTACGTGCTCCAAATTTGAAACTGCATAATGAACTCATTAAAGCTTTTACTAATAAGGCAAAAGCACTGCATTTATCTTTTGCGATACCATCAAATCCATGAAATTAATGTTAATTATATTCGTGCTTCTGGAATATCCTGCATTTTTCATCGAAATTATTAATTAACCATATACATTTTATCTTCATGTTGAGTTATGCTAACATGTTAATTTTATACTTTTTTCTTTGCTTATTATATTGTATTTCTTAGTCTACTTGTTTTTTTATAGTTATTAAGTAAAGTGTAGCAAAAAAATCCAAGTTCTTGGTTTTCAGTGATATAAAATAGTTAGTGGTTGTAAACTACTTTGTAGAAATAATTTGATGAACAAGTGAATCTATTAGATATGAAATGATGTTTATTAAAAATGGTTCTATGTCGTACTTATTCTAATAAAACCCAAGTGTGTATTAACTTTTTTATTGACAATACAAGACAGAAAGAGTAATAAATCAATTTTTTATTAATTTATGTTCATTTTTAAAAGTTAAAAATTACTGTTTCAATGAAAATTTTGATATTGTTTTTCGATGTATTAAGTTAAAACTGAATTTTGTTGCTTATGAAAAATACTTTAATCGGAAATATTTGCTGCAAAACGTTTTACATATTTTTTCTTTCATTATTCTAAGTGCTGAAATAAGTTTAGAGTTATATGGAACTCAATCAATCCTTGAGGGTGAGTGTGAGATAGAAAGAATACTCACGTCTAACCACACTCACACCTTGGCATAATTGAATTTTTTATTCAATCTATTTATTTAAAGAACATTGAAAAAGAAAAAATACCATCAGTATTACAAACATTATTTGATTTTGAGAGTATATCTATTTTTTGATCATTCGTTGTTTTTCCCCATGAAAACTATTTCTGTGCAGGAAATTTGTTCATAATGAGAAGCACAAAATTCAAAGCCATAACGCTATTACTTGCAATTGTCAGTACTCATTTAACTACAAATATTTATTACACCTTTTAGATTGAAAATGCTTGTGTTCAGCTCTCCAGCATGTCACTAAAATAATTCGAAGGAACACTTTTCTCAGGATTCGTCTACTAAAATTAATTTGAAAAGATACTTTATGGAAATGTTTTTCACGCATAGGCATGTGCCCCCAACTACCCTGTATTGCATGGTGAAACCGGCAGTTCGCTATGACTTTCCATTCAAGAGTTATAAGCTTTTCTTTAAAAACTCCGGTAGTAGTTTATTTCTAACTTTTTCTTGTTTATTATAAGTTTGTTTGTCTCGTAAAAGTATCACAAATATAAAAATCTAAACTCGATAGTATATCAACTTAAAAACAAAACTATATAGAGAACATGAAAATAATATAGAAATGTGATACAAATACACAATAAATAGAAAACATACAAAGAACACTCGGTTAACTTTCTTCTTCTTATCCATGATATGTTTTCAAGTAAACACAATAGCATACATATATCAAAACAACGAAAGTTAATAGATCTTTTATGTTATGTAAACCACATCATGTTTTTAACATTTTTATTAACCATGATCAAATTACTTTTGATATCTTCTAAAGTAAGATCATCTTCAACTTGTCCAGTATCTCGATTTGATGGATATTGTGATGTTGTTTGATATGGTTCTTTTTCAAAATATCTTGCATGATAAGCAACTGTATGAGCATATCGTGCAGCTGCTGGACATTTAACAGCTTTTGTACATCGTACATCAGTATGACAAAGCTAAGAATAAAATAAAATTTTCTATCGAAGACAAAAACTAAAATTATTTTCTTTACCCAAAATGTTAATTGTTGTAATTCATCACTTGTAAATTCAATTTCATTATATAAAACATGATAATAAGAACAAACATTCGTACCAAGTGCACCAGCATGTGAATTAAGATAAAAATCAAATTGACGTGGATGTACAATAGTTGTATCAATAACAGTTCCTGCTGCCATATTTGTTATACGTTGACCATTGGGAGCAAAAAAACGTGTATTATGTGATTTTTTTATTATTACAAATGTTATTTTAGGTAATGGACGATTACCATAGACTTCTAAACAAGCATTTTTAAGTGCTTGAACTTCATTATCAAGTAATTTTTGAAAATGTCCTTCATCAACACCATCACGATAAACAACAATTTTTGTTGGATATTGTTTATTTGTTTGTACAAATACATGTAAAAGATCACGTGTCATAGGTTGAAAATCTTTAATAACTTCTAATGAATATTTTTTATCTTTTACTGGTCGTTGTTCACTTGAACGACATATATATTGTGTTGATGTTGGTGATACACTTGCAACAACAGCTGCTATTGATGGTTTACGTTCAGAAACAACAACATGTGATACATCAGCACCAATAAACATAAAAACATCACCATCGGATTTAGGTTGATCATCAAATATTTTTTTAAATGATACAGTTGAATTAATTCCACCTAAACGTGCATTCATTTTTTGTGCAACATTTTCAATATAAGCATTCTAAAAAAAGAACGAATCAAATTGAATAGAATCCAAAAAATAAATAACTTACAAGTTTGCCAGGATTATTTTGCTTTCGAATTGAACCCAAATCACAACCTATAGAATAGAATATTTAATTAAAAATATCGAATATGTCAAGTAATCCGTCGGTGTGAAAGAAGAGTAATCCATACATATACATCCACCCTCAATCACCCACTGCTACAACGACGATATCGATCGTGCTGAGCTTCTCGAAGGATACTCGCTTCAATGAAATACGCTCATTAGATTGTCTCTAATATTTCTTTCTGGAGTTTTCTTTTCCGGATTACTTGACATCACCAAAAATATCAACTTACAAAGAGTAATGATACCAAATTCTTGTAATGCACAACGTTTTATAGTTTGATATGAGTCCGGACAATCACCAATCAAGATAAATAAACCAAATTCAGCACCACTAGCATGTAAATCATAAATACATTGACGTATTTGATGATGAGATATAATTTTTGTTTCAAAATGAGGATTCATTTGAATTCCATAACGACGAGTCGTTTCTGGTAACATATGACAAAATTCTTCTAATTTTTGCATATCCATATGTCCTGGTTCACGTTTTCCATCTTTAACTAAAATCATTTCCCATTTATGAACACGTGTAGTTTGCTGTAAGAGACTTCCTTTCATAAGCCATTTACCAATTGTAACTGAAGCAATACGATTATTTCGATAAACAATATTGGGTGGTTCAAGTACACGTCCTTTAACTTGTAACATTTCATTTGTATCAATTGTCATTGATAGATGTTTTAAATATGGATCATTATTAAAATTTCTTTCATTAGCAATCATCATTGTTTTATTAAAACGTACTTCAGGTAATAAAATCGAACGTTTAGATTTTTCAGCATTTTGTTCTGTTGTCATTAATGATCGATCAACAATTTGCCATTCTTCAACAAAACATAATTCAATTGGTATATAGGATAAATTTTGTGCACCTTTATTAACACATTCAAGTGTTGGTAAACGTGGATATTTTAATTTAATATCATATTTTTCCACAAGATATTCTGCAACAGACATTTTACGTGAATCACCATCAGGTCCATCTATTGTTACAGGATGTTGATCAGCATTATCACCAAAACCACGAATATTATAAACCATTTTATTAAATGTATGCCGAGTTTCAACAGTAATGATTTCCAAACATTTCATTCTTAATAATGCACGTTTTTCATCAGCTGACATCATAGCTCCATTGATTTTTAAATCTCGTCCAAGATAAATCGATAGAAAATGTAACATATCAATATTTCGATAAAAACATGAACATTTTGTATCAATTGTTAATGTTGGTCCAATTTGTGTAACAAACATCGCTTGATAAAAACCTTGTGCTAATGCAAAACCACTATTTTGAAATGGTCCACCATCATATAACATTTGATTTTTTTCAAAAAATTGATTTCGAATGCAAACCATACGTGAACGAATTGTTTGTTTAAGTAATGTTTCAAGCATACGAATTAAATCTTGTGGACGTTTACATGGTGTTTTACTTCGAACATATTGCCACATATCTTCAACAGTAACACGATCGGACATATCTTTAATAGCTAATTGATATATTTGATTTTTTATTGTTATTTCATATGTTCTAGCTCTATCAAGTAATAATTCTCGTGAATAAAGAAAATTACCATCATCAAACCTAAATTTAATTTATTATACAATTTTAAATAGAAATGAAGTTAATTCTATACTTTACCATACGAATGGTAAATTGTCAGCTTCTCGTTGGAGAATTTTTTGAACTATTTCAAATCGATTATGTTGACGTTTATTTGCATTACACCATTTACCACGTTTAAATACATTTACATGAACAGTATATTGATTCTATAAGAAAAAATTTGATTTATTTAATTTCTATAAGATAAAATAATACGTACAATAGCAAGAGTCTCAGATAAATTACATTTAAAATGATTTGTATAAAGTGTAATAACTTGTCCTTTAGTGCCACCAGAATCTGGACGAAAACATATTGGGATTTGTTCATGTTGTGATCGATCAGGTACAACAGAACGAATAGCATTAACTGATGGTGGACGATTATCATAAGGTTTATCCGGATGATGAGGTTCTGCGGAACGATTACGTATTCGACTATTGTGTGTGTGATTATTATTTTCAAATGAAACTTTACTAACACGATTGCATACATCTCCAACTGATACTGGTGATAATGGACGACGATAATAATGGTGCGTATTTGGTGTTATATAAGATGATGGATCAATATCTTTATTACGTGTATCATAACGAGCTGAAAAAAAATATATATTTTTTAATATATCAAAAAGAAAATTGAAGAATATAATTACGTTTTCTTCCATGACCACGATTTCCACAAGTATTTGTGGAAGGTGGATAGCGATAGGAGGGTGCTGACATTTAGAATCTGATAATAAAAATGAATATGAGCGCGACAAGAGAAAAAAAGAGAACGTATATCAGATGTATATCGATATATGTATTCGTGTAGAAGATTTTGTAAGAACAGATAAACAAAGAGCGATATCTAGACTATAGTTTCGTTTATCGAGGGATGAATCGTTTCATCTTTGTCTTCTATTTCTGATTAACTTATAATATGCTTACAAATCGTTTTTGAGATTCTTGGCGACATCTTTTTTTTTCTCATAACAAAATCATAATATTAAATTTTAAATTTCTCTTGATGTATGCATAGTACTTTTGTTGATATTAACAAAAAGTGAATATTATTATTCAATTGTTCCTTTAAAAAAACTTTGAAGTCAATTTCTTAGTAATATTATTTTGTAATATGAATGTTATTTATTTTAATATTATGAGAGGAGATGTTATTACGAGAAATTTTTTTATTTATTGCTGAAGAAAATTTATAACAGAAAAAAAGAAAAAGAAAATGAAGCTCTGTTAAGAAGAATGAAAACAGAAAAAACAACTGTTAAAAATAGTGAACAATAAAAGAACAAGTAATTTCGTGGCTAAATATTGAATAAAAAGATTGATCAATATATTGAAAAATAGCAAGACTTTCTTTTTGTTGCGTCTGCACCATCACTTTTGGTTTCACTCTTTGGAATGTAATCACTTAATGCGCGATCACGAAATAGTTGTCTAGGGTCAGTTTCAAATCTCATTTGTTCATCATCATCAGCAATACTTGCATTCGTTAATAAAGGAGTCGACAGATCTTCTATTTGTTGTTGTTCTTCTTTCGTCATATTAGCTAGAAAATTTTATATGACTTATAAAGAAAAGTTCTTGTTACAACTATACATAAGATCATAAGGAGCAAACATATCTGTTTTTAACAATTTATCAATATCATCTGATGTATCATTTTCTCCATCTAAAAAGATATATAATTATTTATTAAAATATATCTTTAAATAAATTATAATAAACATACGAAATGTTGAGATTCGGTCATTTGGAGAAATAGGATCAGAAGATGTACATGACCGAGTGTTTTCTATTAAATAAAATAAACAAATTTAGAATAGATTTAATTTGATCATATTCTAATTTTTAACTATAAAATAAAAAACAACATGATTTACTTTCACTCATATTAGAAGTAATGGCTCTGTATTGATTCTATAATAAGATATCAATGAACCTGTACTTAAATACGTTTCTTTAAAGGACTTTAGAAATCATAATTATCTGAATGAAATTTAAAATTGGCAAGAGAGATTATAGAAACTTCGCATGAGATTAAAAACTTAATTTGAATTATTTTCTTGATCGAAATTCATGTTACTGAATTACTATGGATATCAGAAATTTCCCTAATTATTTCTCATCAGATCTCTAAACATGAACTATAATATGTAAATCGATTTGACAAACTATTATTTGTGTTCGTTGTTGATATTTTTATTTTGTTAGTAATTATTAAATTGCCATCGTCTTTTATTAATATATTAATTAAAACTAACATTTAGAGAAGGAAATGTATTTTTTACCTGATACTTTATGTGTCTTCATGTTTTGCTTCGTTGGGTTATTTTCAATAAAAGGTTCCGTGATCATTTCAGATAAATCATCGGATTCATCTAAAATTGGTAAATAAATTGTATAAACTCAATAATTATAAGGTAATAAATAACTGACGTTCAACATGAGATGATGAATCCATTGCATAACTATATTTTTCACTGTCAGAATTATCATATTCCAAATCTATAAAAAAAAAAATATCGATTTATATTATTTGTCATGTTATATTCTGATAATCAAGTGTATTTTGAATAAATTTACGAAGGAGATCTTATGAGTTTATATGAATAGGTATCAAACTGAGTATTATTAACACTTGATTTAAAAAAAAACGTACGAAATGAATTGGTAGGTAGCTCTACATATATTCAGTAGAATATATATATTTCTAAATATTCAAACAAATTCCATTCATTCTAGTTCCTATGTTTATTTAAATTTATAAAATTCTGACTTGTAGTAACTTCTTTTTCTTGATTATATTGGAAATGAGAGAGATTTTAGTCTTCATCTTCATATTTTTATTCTTCCATACTAATCTATACAGTTAAAAGATGATTCATACGATTTTAGAGTTGCTTTAGTTTCTATGAAGTATCTATTTTTTAGAATAACTAAAAAGAATTAATTAAATATGGCATCTTTTAAGGATGAAACTCGAACTAAAATAGAAAAAAAAGTATTTCACACAATTTCTACTTGTAGATCACTTCTTTCTCTTAATCTTTTTTTCGAAAGTAAATAAATGAGGATGTTTTAAAATACCTGCCGCATATTGTTCGTTTGTATCAGATGAATTAGTCTTCGCAATGATTGGTTGTGATATATGAACAGATTCATCAGACATATGATTTGTGCGAGTCATCACTTTACTAAGACGATTGGCTATAACTAAAATACGAAGAAATAGTTTTATTCTTTATGACATATTTTTACTTACAATCGATCTGATTTGCAATAAAATCAGGCAAAAGAATATATACGTGGGGATCATCAAGATCGAAAGTAGTTCTTTCATGTTGTAAATTGTTCACGTTACTACATAGGGATAATGGGTCATAATGAGGAATCGCTTCGTCATAAATAATGTAAATACATTTGGTACATGATTTATCATCTTTACCAAAATTTATCATATCTACAGATGAATTCTGTTGCTGATCTTTTCTCAACATAATAACTTTAATCATTATATGATGTATTTGGGATAAAGCTCGGAATTCAGGTCCACTACCCAAATCATGATTTCTAATTCCATTACAATATTCTTCCCGATTTTTATACTTGGTGCCATGTAGTAATTTACTATCATCAGTAGTCATATGACAAAAAATATAAGCAGCCACTTCCTTACGTAACTCTTGTACGGTCAACGATAATGGCATTGCATAGAGAAAAGACGAATATAAACATGAGCGACCAGGAGGAACTTCTTTACGATCGAGAGTATACGTTGTTTCAGATATATTGTTGGTCACATTTGATGAAATTGGATTATCTATAATAAAAACACATAATCAAAACGAAAATTAAAGATTCGTGATTCTTTAGAATGAGCAAAGATTATGTATAATTTATTTACTTTATCTTGATAATAGAAAAAGCTGATAATTCTAGTTTAGATTAAATAACAAACTAACAATACTGATCGTATCGATTTTATAGTAATAAGGTAAAAAAAAATTTTCAGCTGTTCCTATTAAGATTATTGAAAGTAATTTTAACCTTTTCTTATCTTTGACTAAAGCTAATAGTTTAGAAGGTTCATTTGCTCGCCATGGTCATTCTTATGATCTCTAATATACAGTGAAACAATTTGAAATAAATATACTCTACGTTAGTATCCGGAAAGTTCTATCGCGTTATATGTTCATTCAGTATTAAAAAACAATTCTTTTTATGACAGAGACCGAGATTTAGATTGTTAATCGAACGTTTTCAATAGATAAATTATCAGTTAATACAAAATCTTTTTCCAAGTGTCTCATAATTCAAGAGAACCAAGTTATGGACACTAAAGCACCCACAAGATCGGAAAGGGTTAAGGTACAATATTAAACTGTTATGGAATCATATCAGTAATGAAGAATGCACTTTTATTTGCATTACCTGTTATCGTTGTAGTAGCAGACATTGTTGGATATTCGCCATTATCTATTAAATATTAGAATAAAGCAATGTAATAGAAACAATAATAAACTTGTTTTACTTGTTATTCTCGGCTCTTCCATTATGTTCATTTCAATATCCATACCGATCCTACGAGATATACTATCAAATTCAACTAAAAGATATATTATAAAATAAAAGATTTCAATCTAAATAATTAATATACGTTGTTCTTGGTGTAATAGTTCATTGACTACAGTATGGTCTTCATCATCCAATTGTACATCGTCATAGTCTTTAAAATGAAAGAAAAATTGTTCTAATTTGTATTATTTATTATATTACTACTTACAATTAAAATTACTAATAAAATATTTTCGTAAAAGAATATTGATTGTCTTATCATAACAAGGGAAAATAGTTATTTTTTCTCCACTTGGATCTGTTTTATTATATAAACATAGTGAATAATATTGTTGTTGTGTTTCATCATAAACCATATAAATCGATTCTTTATAATCATTACCATAATATTGAACACGAATAGATGATGTAATCTCATTATGTTTTGTCACATATATTATACACAGTCTTGTCTTAGCAAGTAAACCTAAAATGTCGATCTCATTCTCGGTAACAGTTGCGTGGCTGGTGTTACATAGACGAGGTTTTCTCTCAATGATTTCATTTTCTTCATTGATATTTCTGGGTAAAGTATCAGCTGCTTGTTTTTCTCGACAAGAAATTCTTTCTTGTACTAGTTCATACGTACGTTTCGGACTGATATTAGCTTGGATCTGAAGTGCATCAAGAACATGGTTATAAAACTTGTAAGGATTGTAGGAACCAGATTCATGAGTTTCTGCAGTTGTATTGGTGGCCATTGCTATAAAAAAATTGTAGTGAATGCGAGAAAAGAAAAGAAAAAAACACTATAAGAAGCAGAAAGAACATTCGATTCCTTTGATGTACTAGAAAGAAAAAACGAACATTTTATTTTGAAAGAGAACATGTTCTCTCGATATAACGTAAAGACATATTAAATAGATTTTTAACTTTCATGGACAAATAAAAATAAAAATTCGATTCGAACAATAAGAAGATATTATGTTTTTGAATCTCTCATGAATTATACTAATTATATGTCCTATCTATTAATTTGTTTGCATTAGTAGAATATTTTAAATTACACACAAGAATAAAACAAAACCCTGTTCATTAACGGATATACGTATCCTAGTCGAACTTTCTTTGATAAGCGCATGATATACTTGAGCTTCTTAAGCTAGAAGGACATGAGATATGGACACATTTTGGAATCAAGCTAGGCGAAATGCATGAAGAAAAAAGCCCGGACAAGATAAACTAAAATCATTTACAGAAATAACATGGAATAGATTTTATTTGTAAGTGTACTAGAAGAAATCAATAACTTCGTACATATATTTTAATTGAGAAAAAACAGACGTACCGTTTGCTTTTATTTTACATCAATAAGTTAGAAATTCTAAAAGTGTTACTGTGAAGAATCGATTGACACTTTTATTGACGTCAAGCGAAATAACTTTCGAAAGAAAAATAAAGGAACGTCGCAATACTTCGACAGAAATACGAGTTCTTTTTGCTTGTTTATATATAAGGTTTTACTCATTCGAATTAGTCATCGTCATTCTTTTTTCTTTCTCTTCTATAGATTTTTTAATTTATCACAGTTAAGTGAGCAAAAGTTTTTTTTCTAGAAACATGTAAAGAAGAAATGAAATAAAAAAATTTAATATGGATGTTTTATCAACTATAGTAGAATATAATTCTTTATTATTGAGTGTGCCAGATTAAATAAATATTTCTTATTTTTGCAGCAACTCTTTTAATTTTCATCCAATTAAGACAAATTTAAAAAAAAAGATCGTTGTGTGCTTTTCTAAAGGAAAGCATGGCGAAGTTATAAAAGAACAAGTAAAGACGTTCAAAAATGTAAACTTTTTGATCACTGTAACATAATCAAATTCTTTAGTTTGATGATTTTCTAGTACTCTGAGTCAAATTGATGACACAAAATCAAGTTTCCCTTAAAGTGTTGGCAATCACAATAGCTTCCATTTTGATTTGAACGAACTCAGTGTAAAATATAGGACGGCGTCATGAACATGATCATTCGGTAGTTGAGACTACAAGATTCAAACAAAAAAAAATTATTAAAAATAAATGATGTTTGACTGAATTATGCAAACTTTCATAAACCGAACAAAAACATCAATCGAAAACTGATTTCTTCATTGTGAATTAACGTAGCATTCTAAACGTTTTTAGGCAAAAGTTGCAGATATAGATCGTCATAGTATTCCAAATCACCGTCTGAACTTATGAATATCTCAGTGTAATAAAAAATTGAATATGCAGAGAATTAAATGATGATTTTTTTAAAAATTGAGAGAGTTATTGTGACAACAAAAAATACTTATTTAATCCGGTCCACCCGATACAACAGTCTATTTCACATACCGAAAAATACAATTCACATTTTTAATAACTCAAACTCTTTCTATAAATATATTTATATATAAAAAATATTTTAAAAGCCGTCTAAAATTTGTAACTGAACAAAATGAATTCTTTCCTCACTGTTTTAGTATCAACATATTCATTATACCATGGATATTTTAATCACTAGTTTTTTATACAACACAAAATGAATACATAAGACAAAAATTCTAGTTTATTTGTTTATTAAAACTAATCGCACACGAAAAAAAACACAAATGTATTATAACAGATAAACTAAAAGAGAGTAGCAAAAATAGTCAAAATCAAATGTTTTTTTTTTGTTTTGTTTCTTGTTTATTCAATTTTTAATATAAATCATCGAGTGAATTATTAGTAAATATGATTAGAATTTAAAAAATAATTAAATAAAATTAAACAACTTGTGTTCCTAAATTTTGTCCAAAAAAATCATTCGAATCATGAATATGTGCTGATTGATCAATTCCAGAATCAACACTTTGATATGTTTTTCTCAATGGACGTAATGTTGGTGGATTTGCTAAGAAAAAATTTCTATTTATTCGTGATTTTCTAATAGTATTATCAGGTGGTGTTTGTTTTTCAACAACATATGTTCGTGATGAATTGATTACAGGCATTAAAAATAATGGTCTCTTTTTAGAATTTAAATTCTCATGATTATTGAATGTAAAACTACGATTTCGTTCATAAATAATTTCTTTTTCAATTGGAGTTGCAACTTCATTATTTGGTGGATGTGTAATAATATTTTGAGTACCAAAATGAAGTGGACGCGGCTCTGTTACAGGTGGTATTTGTTTCTGTTCAGCATAATGAATTGGTTGGGGACGTGCTGGAGCTTTTTGATTTTGATGAGATGTACTAGAATGATGAACAACATCTGTTGGTATTAACGTTGTAGAACTGCTCGGTAATTCTTGGATATAACTATGGCGTAAAACATATGGTTTTTCTTTTTTATTTGGTACTTGTTCGAAGGGGATATCTTCATATTGATTATAATTATTCTTATTTGTATCTGAAAAATATATTGTAAGTTGATTATAAACAAGATTATAGTTATATAAAAGTAATTTTTTACCTTTTGGTGTTTTTTTTTCTTCATAATTAGTAAGATGACCTTTCGTTGGAGTTCGATTTTGATCATCTTTTTGTTTTGGTGATACAATTTGTACGTCTATGAGGTTGTCTTGATTTTGTGTTGAGGATGAATTTGTTCGTTTTGGATGGGTAGTCGTTGGATAGATATTTTGAGGTAGCGGTAGTTCTTCCGCGTGAATTGATGTTCTTTTATGTTTTGTTGATGGTGGATCTGATTGAACACCGACATGAACTGGATGTTTCATACCATCAAGACTAGTATCAGTTTCAATTGTGGCTGTTGGTGTTCGAGGTTTTGTTTTACGTGGAGACGGTTTATTATTTGAAAATGATGAAGAATGTGATCGTTGAGGAGGTGATAAGGGTCGAATTTGTGATGATGGTGGTGTTCGTGGAGGACTTCGACGACTTGGTCGAGGGGGATATTGTCGATTTTGTGAATTAGAAGTTCGATCTAGATTGTCATCTTCTATTATGTTTAATTGACCAAAAATGTATGGATCATATTCTGATGAACGTGATCGCGGGTGTTGATGACTGGAAGATGTTGTTTGTTGTATTTTGTCATGTCCATTGATCACTGGATCATATTTTGATGAATTTGATGGCTGGTGTTGATGAGTGGAAGATGTTGTTTGTTGTAGATTGCCATGTCCATTGGTCATTGAATCATATTTTGATGAATGTGATGGCTGGTGTTGATGACTGGAAGATGTTGTTTGTTGTAGTTTGTCATGTCCATTGATCATTGGATCATATTTTGATGAATTTGATGGCTGGTGTTGATGACTGGAAGATGTTGTTTGATGTAGATTGTCATGTCCATTGATCATTGGATCATGTACTGTGTGTTGATGAAGTTTTTCCGGACGATGTGTTTTATATTGTTGTGATAGTATTCCATTATTAACAATATTTGCTTTACTAAGTTCACACATTGTGCCGACATTTCGTGTTGATCTTATTTCTGTTTGAGTACGATGATTCTTTGCAACTATTTGTTGTCCTGCTTTAGCTGAACGATTGTATTGTTGTGTATCAGGCATTGGATCTAAATTTTCTTCGTTTCCTTCGTAAGTGTCACGCAAATTATATAAATATGGATCTGGCGTATGAAAAGATGTATATCGTTTATCAAATGAGTCTTGTTTAGTTATCTCATCAGTGATATCAGTTGTTGGTGGCGAATGTGGTCTGAGCTGTATAATACCATGAGTATACAAATTTTGTCCCTCTCCTGTTCGTAGAGTTATCTCAGGCGGCTTTTTACCTGTAAATAAATAATAATAAAAAGAAGACAAAGTATTTTATAAGTATATATGCATCTTTTAATTTTAAAAATGATAAGAATCCTTTTTATTCAAATATGACATACACCTACATACATACATTCCAATGTCTTATCAAATACGTCTCTTTTTATGCTACTTTTATTGACTTTTTGTCACAACAAATAACGACCTTCTATTCTTGTTATATTCTTTTTTTTTTAATAACTCTTTACTTTCAATAAAAGACAAAAAGAAAAAACATGTCATAAAGCATTAGAAAAGAATCAAAGAAGAATATCGCAAAAATCTAGAATACTAACAAAATTGTAAAATTAAATCAATTAAAGATAAATCTATAAAAATAAAGTCAATTATGTATTTTAATTCGATCTTAATGTGTGGACGTATTATCGTTAGGTTGCGTTTTCTTTTTGTTTTTGCTACGTTTCTGTTTTGGCTCTTTCTCGTTCTTTTTTTTTCCACCGAGAATTTTAGATATGAATCCTTGTTTTTCTTTGTTTTTGGGTTTCACGGGAGCTGTTGATGAATAAGATTGAGTCATAGATTCGTTTGATTCCGTTTCTTTTAATGCGGGATAAACTGGATTTGGTCTTACCAAACCATCAACTTGTGGTGGACGATGTACCGAAGTACTTATATCGTAATCATCTGTCTCATTGCCATTAACATTAATATCATTACGATATGTAGGATCATCACTACCAATTGCAGAATTATTATCCATTTCATAAGGTCCCTGATTTTCATTATTTTGAATTTGTTCATATCTTTCTGATGATCGATTCGGTTGTATAGTACTGCTAATATCTGTCTTAGAATAATTATTATCAGCATGATATTGAGGTGGAATTCGATTTGATAATATAATAGAATTTGTAATATTTTCATTTGTACCATTGGAAAGGTTCATATAACGACGAGTAGTAGTATTAGTTGGTGTATCATTAGTTGTTGTTGCAACATCGCTTTGTTGTGCAAACCGACCATCATCAGCATTTCTGTCATCATATATATAGTCATGATATGTATTGTCCGGATAATTACGACTAGGCTGTGTATTTGAATTTGCGAGTAGTTCTTGATGACTATGCCCAATAGCTATGCTTTCTTCATCACTATCGCTATTGTTGTCTGATAATTGATGTTTAGTGGATGAACCAAAAAAATATTTTTTTGGATCTGGCGCATGATTGACATGCTGCTTAGAAGAGGTATGAATTGAAGAAGACGGATAGTATGACTGGGGAAATTCTCCATCTGCATGTTTGTTTGGTTTACTTGTAATTTGATCTGATGGTGCATGTTCATTGAATGAAACTGATTGATTCTTCTGTTGATTATTTGATGGAACTGAATATGTATCATCATCGCTGTCTGGTGCCATTGCTGATGGTAAACGGTTAGCCTTCGAACTAGAATTCAATCCTGCTCTTCGGTCTGATTCTCCTTTAAGTTTACTTTGACCATCATCTAGGGATGTTGTATTTTGATTTAGTTGATCTGCATCAGCTGCTGATAGAGCACTTTTTTTGGAAGGATGTGATTGATTTTGATCAATATTATTAGATAATGTAGGAGTACGACTTCGATTTCCTGCTATATCTTGCATAGATTGTCTTGCACGTTCTTGTACTGCAGAACCTTGAACAGTACCTTTAAATATGAATTGCATTTGTTCAGGTTTATATTCATCGGTATGTGAACTATGATTGGATAAATTTTGAATGAATTCCATATCACCTGAGATGACCTTATATTGATTAAGAAATGGTTTCAAATGATCTTGGTCAGTATTATCAATAGCTGGTGGTCTTTTTGATACTGAGTTATTTTGTTTTCCTGATGATGATTGTCCTATGTGTTCGCTTGAATATTGCGACTGTGGTGGCCGAGTTGTTCCTGACATTTGTGAATATGAATCATTTCCTTCTTGCGTTGTCGTTTGCTGTTCGTGACGCGGTTCATATGGTGATGGTCCAGTATTTTGTGGTGCCTGTGATACTGAATCATTTCGCTCTTCTGATGGTGTTCGTCCGATGTATTCATTTCGTGATGATGATGATGGTAGTGGTGGTGCTGGTCGAGTTGCATATGGCATTTGTGAATATGAACCGTTTTGTTCGTGTGGTGAACGTTGTCGTTCATAAGGTCTCTGATCTTGTGGCGGTGGTGTTGTAACGTCGAATCGTTGTGACGTTGATAGTTGGTGTTGTCGTTCCCGTTGATTCGGATTTTGAAATTGTGAGTCATGAGTTCCATACTGTTGTGAATGAACGATGTTTTCGTGTTTATGTAACGCGTCGTTACGTATGCTTTCACGTCGATATTTAGTTGGTGTTAAACATCTTGGCACATATATGGGCTCTTCTTCGTCGCTTTGTTCGCTTTGATTATCGAAATTATTTGTTGGAGAAATATTTGATAATGGTGTACGAGCTCCAGAACGATATTTTGATGGTGTCAAAATTTTTTTTTTTCTTAATCTAGAATTATAATGACTATCACAGTCATTATCATCTTCATCAGTACTTGGTAGCGGATGAAAATGTTCATGGTTATTTATATTTTGCGGATTATAAGACATTTGTGAATTGACTGTTGTATACGAATTTTTCGTTAATGAAAAATAATATGGTGGATCTTCAATAGATTTTAGTGAAGTTAGATATGTATCGTCTTCAGTATCGTCGTCTTCGCTATCATATACCTTTGTGATGAAACCACGATTCTCTTTTTCATTAAGACTTGTTGTCAGTTTATTTAGAGAGACTGACGTGTTCTCTTTATCAATGGTCGTAGCGTTTGGAAGGCAAACTGCTGACGAAAGATAGAGATTTTCGTATGCAGGTATATTTAGTTTACGCGAGTAAAACAACGTGGGACCTATAGAATACAAGTAACAAAAAGAAATTGCAAGAATGTGAAACGAACGTTTAGTTGTGACAAGAAAAGAAGAAGATGATGATAATGATGAATACACAACATCTCATGTTCTTTTTTTGCATTAGATAAGATATACTCACGAATCATTGTTGAAATTATTTAATTAAATAATAACAAAAAACAGCGTAGATAATTCGTATATTTAATGGTCGAAAAGAAAAAACAACAGTACGATATGAGACACCAAATTGATTTGTCAAAAGTCGACCATGATAAATAAAAGAAAAAAATAACAGAAGCAACCAGCATTCTTTTATAATATTATTTATGATCCATCGTAATAAAACCAGATGAAAAGAAAGAGAACGAAACGACAATGATAACCGCATATAATCACTTTTAAAACGCAAAACAGAATTATACAGCACAATATAGATTTATTACATATTTCTATTTTTTTTTTCGAAAAATGAATATAGTCTGATAAATTTTGTTTTTATGAGTATCAAATAATCCATATAAAGAAAGATATCTTATAAGCAAATAAAGAGAGAGGGAAAAAATGATTGCGATTTGATTTAAATAAATGTTTCATTGCGCAGTTAAATAAAATTTGCAAAAAAACTGACTTACCGACAATAATTTCTTGCCAGGATGTGTGAATATTAGGCGATTCGATACTAACAACTCGAATTTTATATCTTCCAGCTAAATAAAATAAAAGTTAATCTTGATCAATATTGAATTTATAAATTTTTATCGACAATAAAATAAGTATTTTATTAGTGCTCTTTATAAAACAAAATGTTTTATTTCTTTACGTACGATATTTAATAATATAATCAGGAAAGTCTACTAATGACCGGCCTTGAATTGGTTCAAGGTCTTTCATAAGTATCGTTGTTGTTTGTGAATTATTTTCAACTGAAAAAAAAAGAGAAAATTATTCTGATGATGAATATATGTTATATTACGTTGTTCTTCCAATTTAACACGATCTGTAATGCCTTCATCACCAACAACACTGAATGTTTGTAATTTTTCACCGGCAATTACAGTTGTTTGAGGTGGATTATGCCATTCGAGAAAAGTCAATTGAGGTGCTTTAATAAAATCAAAATATGATTTATAAAAAAAGAATGTTTTATTACTAACATTTTAATGATTCGGTTAAATGTATTAATTGAAAATGATCATTGACATGTAAATATTTATCCTAAACAAAAATTATCGATATTTTATTTTATGATTCGTATGTACTTACAGATGAATTTAAAATTTCATCTCGATTTTCATCTAATGTTTCCGGATCGTTTATACCCTGTGATGAAAATCAAATAAAACAAATATTTTTTTATTAAATGGAATTCTTACATTCCTTAACAATGTATTAAGCTTGTTTTCCAATCCATATTCTTGTAATAGATTAACTAAACGCATATCAACGCCAAAAAAAGCGATGCCTTGTATACGAATATCATCACCACCGTAATTATCCAAAATAAAAACTCGAATAAATCGAGTTATTAATGAGGGAAAAAAGAAATCATTCTTGTTTTCTTCTAAAATTTTATATTTTCTTTAAATTTTATTAAATTCGACTTGTTTTATATTACCTGAAGGTAAACAAGTAAAATCTTTGACTTTAAGCCATGGACCATTCAAAGCATTTGATACATCAATATGACCATTTTTTGGTGTTGAAGGATTACCACTGAAAAATAAATATTTAATCACAATCGATGCTTTTTTTTTAAATTTACCATCCAATTATCCGAATGCCATTTATATTATGTTCATGTTTGAAATCATATATAACCCATGCATTGTTAGACTGTGTAGAACACCAATATGTTTGAATAGAAACTAGAAAATAAAGGAATTTTGGAATTGAAATTAAACAAAATTGTTGGTTTACCATCAAGTAAATTTTGTACAGAAGAAGTTTCAGCTGTTTGACTTCGATATTCATCAGTTTCCATTGTCCAATTTTTATGATTATGAAGTAATGGATAAATATTCGAAGGAATATTTTCTATATTTTTACCTATTGTACTTGTATGCGATTTCAATGATGTTGTTGGCGGTGTATCTAAAACAAGATAATTCTATCATAGAAAAAATCATTAATATCTCAAAAAATATTTACCAACAAGAATATTCATAAAATTTGGTCGTTGATCTGGATGTATTTGTTCAGCTATACTCAAAGCTGTTTCATATCGATTATTCGCTATATTTTGATTAGCACCATTTGCAATCAAAAGTTGAACAGTAGATAATTTTAATGAGCGAACTCTGAGGAGAAAAAACGTATTTATTTTTTAAAATAAATTATATTTGCATACGCAACATGAAGTGGCGTTGTCTGTGTTTGATCGGTTATATTTGGATCCATTCCATGATTAAATAATGTTATCAAACATTTATTATGACCTATATAAATATATTTAAATAATAAAATAAAGATGGAATTTACCAAGACGAGAAGCAATAATAGCTGCTCGATATGCTCGTTGAACTAATGTTCGATCATGAGATAATAAAACTTCCATCATATCTTAGAAATAAGCAAATTTATGTTTACAGATTTGTTATTCTTCATATAAACTACCTGGTTTATTGGCGATGACAGCTTCATCAAGTGGTAATCGTTGATTTCGATCTTGAATATTTGGATCAGCTCCAGCCTAATGAAAAATTTTTTTCATAAACGTCATGAATGCAATTTTCTCCTTTTAGATTAGACCTATGCAAGTCTAATCTTGAGGGTGTGGGTATTATATTCCACCCACACCCACCCTCAAGATGTGGCTATTAATGAACTTAATTAAAATGTTCAACTACAACAAAATAATACTCTAAATTGAATAAACTTACATCAAGTAATGTTTGAAAATGATCGATATTTTCATTAGTATATGATACAACAGCACGATGCAATGCTGTTTTACCGAATTGATTATATAAATTTGGATTCGCACAATATTGAAGAAGTAATTCCACAATAACATATTTCTGGCGATGAATAGCTAGATTTAATGCTGTATCGCTTAAAAATAATATTAAAGAAATGCTTAATAGATAAGTTTTTCTTTTCATATACCTACCCTGTTGCACATTGTTTATTTGGATTAGCTCCGTGAACAAGAAGAATTTTTGTTTTTTCATATGAACCTAGAAATTAAGTTTTACATAAATTATATCGAATAAAAAGTCTATCTTACCTTTTCCTGCAGTGATAATCAATGGTGTTATATTATATTTTGTACCTGTACAATCAATAAAATCAATTTGATCATCAATAACTCCATTATATGTTATAACATCATTGAGATTTTGAAAAGGTTTTCGATGAAATCCTTGTAGAAATGTCTTTGAAAAAACAACGTACAGTTTGAACAAAAAACATTCTCTTACTAGAAAATCTTAACTTACAAAAAGTTGCTCAGCAGTACCTCGTTCTACTATAGCCAATAGTAGTTTACTCTCGTGCTGATAATCCATATTCTTCTTATCTGAAATTCAAAGATAAATAATCGTTATCTTTTTCTTCCATAAACTTAACCTTTAATTAACATATTAATCTAATCATTTACCATTCAATATGTATCTACAATAAATTTATTACTTCATAAAAAAAAAAGAAAGAAAGGTTTAATCATGTATAATGTCAACAGGATAAAAATAATATTAATATTTATTTCTGTAATATGATCAGAGAGAAATCATGAAAAAATTGTTTTATTTATATTGAATATTCCTGAATATGTTTTTTTAAAGGTATCCTTTTTCTAAGGATTCTAAAACAGCAAATGATGCGGTTTTTTGTTTCATCGGTAGGCTTCTGTATGTTCTTTAGTTTCGATGTATGAAAAATATACATATTTTGATATGTAAACAAACATTGTCAATAGTAGAATGTATCACACTTTATTGTTAAGCAATAAGATAATATTTTTCTATATTTCAAATTTTAATTTTACATTCTTGCAACAATTTTGTTATCAACACTTCTAAAATAAAGAATAAAATAGTTCTATTTCGTTTTTCTTAAAATTAATCATTATCGTTAAATTAAATGATTAATACTACCTGACTTTAAAATATACCATCGATGATGATTTGAAATATTCTATTCACAAGTGATATAACTAAGTAATACTGATTTCTCTTCTCTGGTTGATCAATGAAAACAAATAAAATATCTTCTTGAATAGAATAGAGTTGATGAATAGTCGAAATTGTTTGAAGTAAACATGACAACGTGGTTGAACACTTCAGTCTTAGTTGTTGTATAATACCATCAAAGAAAAAGTAAAACAATCTTTAAGTGTAATTTTTAATAACTGCACTTAGGTATTACAAAATATATAACATACTTTTATCATATAAGATGAAATTTGAAATATTGAATAAAATTCCGATCAAGAAGATTAAGATAATGAGAATAAGAATTGACTAACCGTAAAATTTGTAATATCGTCGATTATGAACATTGTCATAATGGATATTTGATATAGGTTGTTTTATTAACAGTATAACTGTTCTTTCGAATTTATTTCATGTCATTCTGATAGATTGAATATTTCAATGTCATTCGGTTTCATCTACTTCTCTCTCCCTCTCTTATAATATGTACAGGTTATGGGTTCTCTGCATTTATATTGTATATTGCGTAAAACATCAGAAAAAAAAGAAAAGTTGTACTACCATTCATTCTGCATCCTGTCTCTCTCTCGTCTTTTATTTATTCTCTCTTTTATCAATAGCGATGATGGTAAATGAGAATCGAGAAAAAAAAAAGAGTAACAAGTGAATTTTAGGTTCTGTCATTTAGTAACGAATAGTTAAAATATTATTCAGTTCACGGCAGTAAAAACAAAGAAGATGGGGAATATACTTTCAATGAATAGATTGATTAATATATCTCGAGGCTGTAGATAAACGAAGAACAACAAAAAAAAAGAAATATCGAACAGAATAAAATAAATCCTTTAATTTTTTTTTTAAATGTGACAAAAAAAAATTCTTCTCTTTCTGTGGTCTCAATTTATAATGACATTCATTTATTCAAGAAGGTAATAAATGACATATTATTTAACTTCGTATCAAAATATCTTTCGTTTAGTTCTATCCAATCATTTATGTTTTTATTCGATCGATTAATCTCTTACAAAAAACAACATATTTTGAAATATATATGATACAATAACATTTATTTTTCTTTTCATATTATTGATGCCATAAACCAAAACAAAATTCATTCATTATTCTTTATTTTTAAGTCACATATTTTTCACTCGAGATATAAAGTGCAATATACAACATACAAAAAAAAAAAAAAGAAGTGGCCGATATCATGAGTAAATAATAACAATCTTAAGTATTCAATCCATATTTTGCTTGAGTTTTAGCCAATTTTTCTTTTTCTTTATCTAAATTAATTTTATCAAACGCTTTGGTTGCTTGATAATAAAGTACAACTAAATAACGATTGCAAACATTAAAACCCGATAAATGATCACAGGCATTTTTCGCATCGAATATATCTTCAAAAACAACAAAGGCTGTACCTATTCGAATTCAAAAAAAAATAATAGTAAATAAAAAATTGAATTTATTATTTACCTCGTGTATCAGGTGTATTACCAACACGAATTTGTCGTATAGCTCCATATTTACCAAATATGTCATACATTTCTTCAGCAGTTATTTTATACGGAAGATTTCGTACATATAAAATTCGATTAATTTCAGGTGGTAAACGAAGATTGGCACGTTTTTGCATCGCCATTATGGAAAGTTAAATAATAGTTAATCTAAATTAATAATAAAAACAGTATAATTAACTCAAGAAAAAAAATATCGTAGCCCTTTTGATTGTTTAACTGAGTTGCTGATTAAATTATATAAAGCGGCGTTTTTATTTTCGAAATACTAACGTCTGTAAGAGATTTTTTTCTTCAATCATACTTAACAATTCTTTCTTCTTTAGTTTTTTTCTAAACAATCCGCATGAGTAATGCATATACCTTGAGGAAAGAAAAATCTTTTCTGAGTTAATTCTAACCGACTTGAAGTACTATTTTATGCCATCAGATGAATCTTTATATCACATTCAATCAGTATAAAATTCTTCTATAACCAATGAAAAGCTGTTCATTAATTTATCTGACATCTATCAGCATTTTTTTTATTCAAGATCTATTAATTAAAAAAGGAAGATTGTTTTTTTTGATTGGTGTATTTTCCGACCAATTGAAATTGCACAGAACAGAAAAAAAACAAAATGGCAATTAATAGATTACAAAATATTTTGGAAATATCTGTCGTTTTACAAAGAAAGGTGATATGACTAGTTTTTATTTGAATAATTCTATCGAATGAACACTTTATTGATTAAATATATTCTGTCGCTTACAACCCGTCGATTAAACGACGATTTACATGGCTCGTACAGAAACATCAAATTTTAGCCATCCAACATCAATAATTAGTCTATCTTCTACAGTTACTTCACGTTCAACTATTAATCAATCAAATGTACCAAAAGATCAAAATCAACGTAGTGATATTGTTAAAACAGAATTTACAGCACGTGAAGGAACATATAAAATTTCTTCACTTATTGATAATCTAGGGAAAATTGGTACTAATACATGTTTAAATGAACCGGTTAAAATAACTTTAATGACTCGAATACAAACACGTATTGATTCTAATAGTGAAACAAGTTCAACACATTCATCATCAACAACTACGAATAATAACGTTAATTCTACAACATTTCATTTGGATAATCAATCAAATGAACATGGAACTGATGGAAAACGTTTATCAATATCCAATGAAAGTGAAATAAATCAACAAAATGTAAATATTCTTACTACAGAATTATTAGCGTGTAATGTCGGAAGAGAAATGGTTATTTATGAATTTGCCGAAGCAACACAGGTTAGAATTTTCGAATAAAGTAATCTTTGCTAGTATAAAAAAATAATTATATTTAATTAAAAAATGTCTTTCTCTCGTTATTGATCATATACTTTCAATAAATTAGGTATTTCCTGTAATTTGTATTTTCCGGTACATTTTCATTGTTTGACTATTTCTTTGTAACAGCTAATATAATAACGTGAAATTAGTAAACGAGATCTTATTCATGTCGAGTAATAAAGAATAGAATTAGTACTTGAAAGCGCATCAGAAACATTATGTTCCCTTAGGTACACATATAAGTAAATCTTCTTTTGTGATCCCTTGAGGATGAAACATAGAGTTTTGAGTGGATATTTTTTTCTTGCTGTTATCAGAATCGAAAATCAAAAGTACAAAAAATGAAGCATATATTTATTGATGAGAATCCATAAATCACCTTTGTTTTTTAGTCTAATTTTGGTGATCCAATTGATCATCGTATTTATAAACAAAATCATCAACCAACATGTCATGATATAACACAACATCCTGATACGAATGGTTTACATATAGTTGTTGGTTTTTCTAAAGGACAAATACAATATATAAATATGCAAACAAAAGAACAAAAAGTATTTAATGAAGCTGTAAGTTTGAAATAAACACGAGAATATTTTTGAAATCAATTATTTTCTTATAGAGTTATTTGGATAAAACAAAAGTAACATGTATTAAATGGTTATCATCACCAAAAACATATTTTGCTGCATCATATTCAAGTGGATATTTATATATATTCGATGAACAACTTAATCATCAACGTGATACAAATATTCAATCAGTTTATTCAACAATAAAAGATGATGAAAAAAATTATTCAATATCTTATTTAAAAGTTTGTTAAATATTTTTCGAAAAATAATTTCATTTCTATTTTAAAATATTAGAATAAAACAAAACAAGCACGAAATCCGGTGGCACGATGGTCAATTGGTAGTGGAAGTATCAATGAATTTGCTTTCTCACCTGATCATAGTCTACTAGCTATAGTATCACAAGATGGATTTTTAAGAATATTTAATTATGAAAAAATGGAATTAATTACTCATATGAAAAGTTATTTTGGCGGTCTTCTTTGTGTATGTATAAGTGATTTATTAGGATTACCTTCAAAATTCCGAAAATAAAAATCTCGAAAAAAATATCTCGAAATGCAAAATTTCGAAATTGGAAAAAGCTAGAAAATAATCACAAAGCGTAGAGAAGCATTATGCTATGACATTTTCTTACGCTAACTTCGAAGGGTGGGCGTGGGTGATTTTATCTTCCTCACCACACCCACACCCACACCCTCAAGATGGTTTATCTAGCGGGTGGGCGGCACCCACCTTAAACTTCGATTCGCCCACCTAAGATACGAGACTTAAACAAAGCACTGTTAGGCGGCGCCCACCCAGAATTTTCATTTCGCCCACTCGAATAAAGAAACGTGGATAAAACACTGGTACTACGTCTCATAACTTATTATTTATTGATAATTTTTTTGTTTTAGCTATGTTGGTCACCCGATGGTAAATATATAGCAACCGGTGGTGAAGATGATTTTATCACATTATTTTCTCTTGAATCTGAAGAATGTTCTCCCCGTGTTTTATGTCGAGGTCATGGGCATACATCCTGGATAAGTGCAATATCATTTGATTCACATATGAATGCCAAAACATACTATTCATCATTTCTTCAAAGACAATCATCATTATCATTTAATGATGATGATCATAATAGTAATAATGATTATCATTATGAAAAAAAGAAATCAATTCCATGTTCACGAAGTAATTCTTCATGTGTTGATACAACTATTCCATCTGAGTTTTATCGTATTGGTTCCGTTGGACAAGATAATCGTTTATGTCTTTGGGATATAACAGACGATATACTTCGAATAAATAAAAATTCTTTAAAAAATAATAATAATAGTATGAAACAAAATTTATCGAATCATCCATTAATATCAAATGGTCATTCATCTTTTCTATCCGATACAACTACAATACCATCAAATAATACATCAACAATAACTACAAAATCTTCATTTTCATCATTAACAGCACGTTTACCATTTTCACGTAATTCAACAAAAGCTCAGAAACCTATTGATGAAGGATCTGATAGTTCATCAGCAATAGTTTCAAATGGTTCATCAAGAAAATCACGAAAAATACCATTACTTTCACATAAAATAAATGGATCAAAATCTACTACTACTACCTCTTCATCTACAACAACAACTACAACAACAATATCAAATGATTCTGGTCAAGTATCATTACCAACAGTAACAAATAATAGTTTATCTTCACGACGTACAAATATCGATTTAACTAAAAGTACATTTGGTACAAATCAATGTCCGCGATTAGATGATATACAAATAATTGAACCAATTGTAACCGAATTTATTTCACATGAACGTTTAAATGGAATTTATTTTGGTGAAAATTGTTTATTTACATCATCACAAGATGGAATTATTACAATTTGGGAAAAACCACAAGAAATTCTACAGATTAATTCTGTATGTATAAATTAAATGAAATATTCGTTAAGAAAACATATTATCTTTTCTTTTCTAGACTGATGATCCAACACCTTTGAAAAAAAGTAATTCTCAACATTCGACAATTACTCAACGACTGTAATGTTTGACAATGTACACAATCTTCTTCGTCTTTTTTAACCACAAACATATAATTATCCGGTGACCTTTATCATTTATCTTTCTTAAAACACAAAAAAAGAACTATTCCTAATTT